TGCGACCCTGGGTACTCACATGTTGACTTCTTGTGTTTTGGCAGTTCAGACTGTTTACCTTACCTCCAAAAAATCCAAACTATAGTCATCTTCAAAAAATTAAAATAAGTTGACTTTGAATAGTTTATCCATTGGGATAATAACCATTACCTTAAGTCAAGCATGTCTTTAGAATAACCAATGTTATAGTTCTGATGATATTATTCAGATAAAAACCCAAAAACTTACAACATCTTTTATGTTTATATAAAAGCATAGATGTTAAAACTAAATTTGAGAGGGCAAAAGAATTATCAATAGGCAGTTGGAAGAATGGCTTACATTGCTCTGGCATTTTGCATAAAAAATAAGTGCATACGTATCTAAATTATATTTTCTTTTCATGCTGAAGACAAACCATCTGATTTTGATAAGAAGTTGGAATGTGAATACTTTGAAGCAGGTTTCTTATCTTGGAATGAAATTTAATTTGTTCTAATGTAAAAATAAGTAGTTTTTTCTACACAAATTTAGAAACAATGTCAACAAAATATCTCATTAAGTTATTTTTATCATTGTGTTTATGATACTTAAACTCATTTGGTATACTTGTAGGTTTTTGTTTAAGAGTTTATCATATAAGTATAAAAATGATAATGAACTACAAAACAACATGCAAGTTTTCAAACTATAATCAGTTAATTTTAAGGTAATTTTTATGTATTTTTTCACAATTTTGGTAATAATTCAAATAAAACTCTTGCAATTCTTACTTCTTATAGTTTGAAAACAGATCTTGTAAAATGGTAATATTTCAGTTTATGAAGTTGGTTAGTGAAAATGTATATAACGAATAACATATTAAGACAAATATTGTTATTTAATCAGTTAGTGTGGATAATCAGGGTGTGTTATGTTTAAACAATCAGAGCTTTACTCATTTTAATTGTATACTACATCATCTGCTGTGACTCTAAATCAGATCTTCCAGACTTTAAGAAAAAAATTCTTACATTGTTTTTTCCACCTTGTCATAATGAAAAAAAAAAAAAGGTCTTTGTAAACAGGTGAAAGTCTTTTTATAGTAAACTGGAGTTGCTGCTTTGTCACATAATAATTGTATGAGGATAAAACAAATTTACTTCTCACAAATTACATTTTAAAAAATTTAATTAGAGTGTAATTGGAAGTTTAGAACTTCATACAAATACATCAGTTATTCAGTTAAGTTTGCGATAAAGTTGTGTTCCTGGGCACATTTATGCCTTTGAGTGCAATGGCCCTTTTGTGTAGAGCGTCACAGCCAACTTGATGTAGAAGGTGACTCAAGGAAAAGTTTTGCCTTTGGTATTTCAGTATGACTTGCCTATAATTTGCTTCTGACATTTGGCTGCTCAATCAGTCCATGGGTGTTTTCTCTTCATCTTTAGAGAGGGGTGGCTTTACTCTTCTTGTGTACATTTGCAAAAATTACAGCAATTACAAAATAATTCTGCCTTTACTATGACTGTTTGACAGTAAGCAGTAATTCATCAAAGAAAATCTTAGCAGGAGTGAAATTGCCATTTTTAAAGAGACTTGGAAGTCATTGGTACATTGTGCATAGCACTCTGCTTTTTTTTTTTTTTTTTTTTTTTGAGTCATAGAATCATAGAATGGCTTGGGTTGGAAGGGATCTTAAAGATCATCTAATTCTAAGCCCCCTGCCTTCCACTAGAAGTCTAGTGGACACCTTCCACTAGACCAGGTTGCTCAAAGCCCCATCCAACCTGTCCTTCAGTACCTCCAGGAATGGATAATTCACAGCTTCTCTGGCAACCTGTTCCAGCACCTCACCACCCTCTGAGTCAAGAATTTCCTCCTATTTACATAAATATTCTCTTTTTTAATTTTAAACCATTACTCCTTGTCCTGTCGTTAGTCCCTCTCCAGCTTTCCTGTAGGCTTCCATTTAGGTACTGGAAGGTGACTATAAGGTCTCCCCAGAGTCTTGTCTTCTCCAGGATGAACAACCCCAACATTTTCTTGTGAATGTCTTCACAGGACAGGTGCTCCAGCCCTTTGGTCATCTTTGTGGCCCTCCCCTGGACTGATTCTAATACATCCATGTCCTTCTTGTGCTGGAGGCTTCAGAGCTGATTGAAATACCCTAGGGGAGGTCTCACAGGAGCAGAGTAGAGCGGGATATTCATGTCCTTCAATCGTGTCCTTCTCCTCAGTGCTGGTGTCAAGCCATTCTCTGCCCTGTCTGTATTTGTGTGTAGTGTTGCCCTGGACCAGAATCAGGACCTTGCACTTGGACTTGTTGAACTTCATAAGGCTCACACAAGCCTAACTCTCAAGCCTGTCCAGGTCCCTCTGGATGGCATCCCTTCCCTCCAGCGTGTTGACCTCGCCACACAGCTTGGTGTCATCAACAAATTTGCTAAGGATGTGCTCAATCCCATTGTCCATGTCACTGACAAAGATGTTAACAGCACCAGTTCCAATACTGACCCCTAAGGAACACCACTCATTACTCCAACTGGACATTGAGCTGTTGCCACAACTCTTTGAGTATGGAGAAAATGTGGATGCTCCGTCCCTGGAGATGCTGAAGGACAGGTTGGATGGGGCTTTGGGCAACCTGGTCTAGTGGAAGGTGTCCCTGTACATGGCAGGGGGCTTGGAATTAGGTGATTTTTAAGATCCCTTCCAACCCAAGCCATTCTATGATTCTATGACTCTTCCAGCCAATTCCGTTCCAACTGAGTGGTCCATCCATCAAATCCATGTCTCTCCAATTTAGAGATGAGGATATCATGGAGGCAATGTCAAATGCTTTGCGCAATCTCAGGTAGAAGATGCTGGTTGCTCTTCCCCTATTAATGCCCATCATAGAAGGTCACTGGATTTGTCAGGCATGACCTGCCCTTAGTGAAGCCATGTTGGCTGTCACCAATCACCTCCTTATTTTCCATGTGCCTTAGCATAGTTTCCAGGAGGATCTGCTCCATGATCTTGCTGGTCTCAGAAGTGAGACTAACTGGCATGTAGTTCTCCAGGTCTTCCTTTTATCCTTTTTAAAAATGAGTGTTGTGTTTCCCCTCTTTCTGTCAGTGGTAAAGACCCCTCCTTCCCTTGTCAGAGAGTTCCATACTCACATCAAGCAGTGATTTGAGAACAGTGTATCACCATAGGTATTTAAATGAAGATATCAAAGATGTCTTACTTAGTGGCATTTTTTGGTGTATGAATATGTTAGAAACACACCATTTAAATCAGATCATTTTTGTCTATAATTTTTATCAGTTTTATGTGTATTCATGGTATGTTTATTTTTATTGTAAATTACAATGGAAATTTCAAAGGAAAATGGAAGACACTAAATTTGATTCTGTGAGGTGGAATAAGACAATATTATTTTGTCTACAAATGTTTTCCTTGTAGCTGTGAACATATATGTGATGATTTTGTTTTTATTAAAGAAAATGAACAATCCCCAAACTAATCAAAGAAATTATCAAGCTTATAATTTTGATAATGACCTCAGCTCAGGACATTAAGTTGGGAATTAATGATCAGTTAAGGTTAATGACTTAATGCTTTGAGTCATTAAACTCTAAGAAAATGCCCTATACTTTGATTGTTTTTGGTTTATTAAAGTTAGGTTGTAGAAGCAGCAAAAATAAAGGTATTTCCAAACATCAGGGGAATGAATATGCACACAAAATATAACCCGCCTCCTTCTGCAGTTCCAACATATCTAAAAATACTATTATGCTTAATAACAGTTTTGTTACTATATAGGGACTTAAGGAGCAAAACCTTCCATAGTTTCATTTATTTATTTATTTATTTATTAATATAAATTTTTTGAAATTAATTAAGAACTGCACATATTTGGAAAAGCATAGGTTAATACTGCAGTGTTACAACTGCATATCACCTTTTCCTATGAAATCATTCCAAAAGGTCCCCAACCCCCCAAATAAGCATTTATAGGATAATGCAATAGGAAAATGCTTGTATTCCTTATGTAGGAATACAAGCCTTTGGATATGCATTATATGTAGTAGATACATACTTGCATCTAAGTGGGTAATAAATATTTTCATTGTAATCTGTATCTGATTTGTATGCTACTTACAGAGTCCAGGAGATGGAAAGTTGTGTGGGAAAGAATTTAACCGATGGGGAGTGTTTAAACCTGAAGCCCTTTATTTTTCCATACTGGACAGATGTAAGCTGCTATGTTGGCAGTTGTTTAACAACATCTTGCAAATAATTCTGAGTCCTTTCTGACATAAAGTAGTATATTTAAAGTAAGGTGACTTAGTGAGATTTTCACTTTAAATAGAATAAGGGTTAAATGATAACTTGACTTATCTTTTAAATGACAAAAAATAAAGAAATTGCAAGACCTTTTCACACATTAGATATGTATTGTCATTTATCATCTAGATATCAGGCTGGCAGTGCGAAGTAATAAAACATATCATCGAAAAATGTGCTATAGGTCTGAATCACTCTTTCATTCCACCTCCCAGCTAACTGTAGTATTAAATCAAACAAGCAGAACATTTCCTTAGGCAGCCATTGCCTTTTAATTTCCTGAAGAACCTTAAAATATCATTCATTACAAGTACTACACATATTTGGTTTTTAAAAGTCTCATAAATCAATAGCAGGCTGACTGTAATAATTATTACAAGTTAGTGCATAATTTTCGTGCTGAAGGCTGCATGCAGAACTTTAGCATATGCAAACGAGGCAATTCAAACTGTGTATAGATATTAATATGAAGAAGCAGGTAACGAGGTGCAGGCTATGAATTATGCATCAAGAGCGGCTGATCTTCAATGAGGAAAATGAATTCAGCATGTAATCTAATTAGTGATGGAAGTCTATTACATCTAACTGCAAAAGCAACCGTCCTTGAAACAAATTTATTTACAGTCCATGTTACCTCTTGAAACAACTTTGAAATGATATGTAAGACAACAGCTTAATTGTAAAAATTTTTTGTTTGTTTGTTTCAGTTCTAGACCGGGAAGGCCTCCTAAGAGGACTCAAAGTGTCACCTCCCCAGAGAATTCACATATCATGCCACATTCTGTCCCAGGCCTAATGTCTCCTGGAATCATCCCGCCAACAGGTAGGATTGCTAGGAACACCTTGACACAAGCAGCCTTTTGAGTACTTGGCTTATGTACACTTGCTGATAAATTAACAGTCTAGGAAACCAGAACCCAAATATCACAAATGAGTTCTGATATGTAATGTTATTGTTATATAAATGTATCATACATAATGGAAATTTTGGCAGCTCAGTACTTTAAAATACAAATGACAGCAAATGATAATCCTTTATATTTTTTCCCCTTTACTTTCTCTTTATAAACAAAAAACCTTTTAAAGCATTATTTTCCTTACCTATCATTAGACAATGATCTTCCTATTCATTTTTAATACATCGGATATCTTTTTTCTTTTTTTTCCCACTTTGCTAAATTAGATAATTCCATCATGAATATAGTTGCCTGAAGAACTGCGATAGTTAAAATAACTCCATATTGCACACACATCTTCCTTAATTTTTCATCCTGAAATTCTATTTTTCATGCAACTCCTGAGGCTTTATACTAATGTAAAGTTCAGCAACAATCTCTTTCTCAAATTACTATTTTCTTTTGAAAAGTTACTATATTATCTTCTATCAGTGACTTGCTCCTAGACACAGTTAAATTAGGAAAGGCTGTGCTGCATGTAGGAGGTGAATACAGTCATCTTAAGACAGAGGTACCTAACAGTCAAGCTGTTGACCTCAGCGCTTCATTCTGTCTTCATGTTACAGATGAGTTAAAATATCCCACTTGCTTCAGTTAGGCTCACCTGAGTTTCTACTTCTTCCCAGTTGTTCCCCACTTGTTTTCATAGCTCAGGCTCAGGCAATGATGTTCTCTTAAAGTAGAAAAAAGATAGCAACCTAGATAGATTAGAGAGAATGATTGCTTAGGCTTGGAGATTGGATAGATGGGTAGATGTCTGAGTATGTGCCCATGATCAGGTGTTTATTTAAGTATGAGCATAATGCTTGGCATGGTCTTGGTCATAGTTGATTAAACAATGCACAGCTCAGGAAATATTACATGCCAGAAATTACTGTCAATTTGGATACAAGTTTCTTGTCTGGAGCATGGATGAAAGGAAGAGAGTTTCTCTCTCAATACAAAAGTGGACCCATGCCTTCTGGCCTTAGGACAAGAGAAGTGCTTTACATAGTAATATAGACACATACCCAAAACAGCTGCATTAGGAGTTTACAGTTTTTTGAAAGGCTAAAGATCAAGAGGAGTAATAGAATGAGAAGTCAGACAACTAAGGCTGGTAAGAGAGAGGTATGAAGTACGCAGAGTGAAGGAGGGGTAGGACTGAAAATATAGTTGAGCATGAGAGGATGTCAGGCAGTCAGGCAAGTAGAACTCAGTGGTAGCCTGGGCATTTGTGACTTGAGCCAAAAAAAAAGGGGGGGGGGGAGGGGTTAAAAAAATATGTAGATTAAGAAATACACAATAAAATCTAATATAGGAAAGAGAGTTCATAGAATCATAGAATCATTAAGGTTGGAAGAGACCTTCAAAATAATTTGGTCCAACCATCACCCTACTGCAAATGTCACCAACTAAACCATGTCCCTAAGTGTACAACATTTCTTTGAACACCCACAGGGATGGTGATGCCATGACCTCCCTGGGCAACCCTTTCCAAAGCCAGACTAGTCTTTCTGAGGAGATGTGTCTCCTAATTTTCAACCTAAACCTCCACTGGCACAACTTGAGGCCATTCCCTCTAGTTCTATCACTAGTTACCTGCAGAAGAGGCCAACTCCCAGCTCCCCACACCTTCCTTTCAAGTAGTTGCAGAGTGGAATGGAATAAGAAAAAAGGAGATAGGGTGTATGTGGGGAAATATTTTTTTTTTTTTACAGGGCACAAGCATTCATGTTTATGGGGAAGAGATCAAAAACTGCAGAAGCAAAAGGAAATTATTGGGGAAAGTAAGACAGCAAAATATCAAATAAAAAAGATACAGATGAGAGGTAGAAGGGAGATATGGAAGAACAAGGAGACAAATAAGGATGCCAAAAAGAAGGAGACAGGGAAAAAATATAACAAAAAAATTGTCAACAGAATCATTTAAGCTGATAGGAAAGCAACTTAAAACCAAGCAACTTAAAGCAACTTAAAGTATCCAATTGCTTAAAACTTAAGCATCTTAAAGTATCCAGTTCCTCCTTTGTAATTATAGGCTGGTCATAACAAGTTAATGATAAATATACAGTACTAAAACATAGATGCAATTTCTTAGAATGTCAGCCCAAAAAAACAGATGTAGATCCTTTTAAAATTAGGATTAAAAAAAAAATAAATCAAAATGAAAGACAACATGTATATATAGTACTATCATTCATCAGATACATCTAGGATGATAATGCTTTGTGGGTCACTTGCAGAAGAGGAAGGGTTTAAATGATATAGCTGCAAAGTTTTAACTGGTTTCACTTTACATGGCTTGTCACAACAGAAGGGGTGAGCAAGATTTTTCCCACTGGGGTGGTGGTGAGTCAGAGTTAGAAATGAACTCTGGGGTATCGTGTTTCATGGAGCATGGCTCACCAAGGGTAAAGAACATCATGCCAGCAGCACTACATGACAATTATTCCATCATTTTATAGACAGACAATTATAAAATTAGGCCTAAAATCTGGTCTTGTGAATTTAAATCAACGAGCTGTTGTGCAGTTGGTTCCATCTTCTTTACTTCTCCCCATAAGGTATTAATAACATTCCCCCTAAGCCTTCTTCAACAATCCTACCTTTCTCAAATTCATGTCAGATCCTCCATTCCCTTAATCATCTTTGTAGACCTAAGATGACTTCTTGTTTGAGAAGTTAAAGTTTGAATTTCCTGTTAAGACCCAGCTCAAGCAGGAAACCCAAACAAAACAAAGCACAAAGTACCAAGTTGTTATTGTTATTTTTTTTCTCTTTTTTTTTTTTTTTTTTGTAACAAATTTCCTTTTTTAAGCTTTTTGACTGATTTAATAATCTTAGTATAATTACTAAGTTTCCTTCCTTCTTGCCTACAAAAGAGTGTAAAGGATCACACAAACAATTATATACTATTTAATGCTCTTCAAATTACAGAGATCTGCAATTACTAGGTGTATCTAGTATCTAGGATATATTGTGCTTTGATTTAATGTATGATTTTTACTGGAACTTTTTTATTTTATTCTAATGCGCTGCATAATAAAGCAGTATACATTTAAATGTAGAAATCTGGGATCCTAAAGAATCTGGTTTTGTGGGCTTTGCTTAAGTATATTGGTACAAAACCATACATTGAGATTTCTAAAACCGTACATTGAGATTTCTCATGAAAGTTCATAATTATAAATTTTTGTAGGAGACCAAGTTAAGAATCCCTTGAAAATGTATTCTATTAGTAATCTAATCTGAAAACAAATGCAGAGAAGGTTACATTATCACTTAAGATGAATTTGCTTTAGAGGAGTATTTAGGGAATAAGCTGAGATTTAAGAACTATAATGAGAAGGAAAAATAAAAAGGAAAAAGGAATAATTTTTTTTTTTTTTTTGAGAGCATAAATTGGAGAAGCAAGGATCACCTCTTGGGTGATATTCTGTCCATTTGAACACAAGATTCATAAATGTTACCACAATTACTGATATAGCTATATCAGTATACTATACTGATAGATGTTTTTGATTAGGGTTGATTTACAAAATGCTACCAACTGACAAAAGATACTTTTATGTTTATTAAAATAAATGGAGAACCTTTGAAGTTGTGGCAAAATGAGAAATGTTTAATAATGGGAAATGAAGCGTTTCTTGAATTGTCCAGAGTAATAAAATCTCCTGAGCTTGTTACAAATGCAGTTAGAGATGTAGTCAGAAGAAAGAGTCTAGAATAAGTTCAGATAGGTTTATACTGCCTTGAAACCCTTCCAAAACCACATGGCTCATCATAGTTAACTTTGATCTACATACCTCTATGTGTTGCAGATCTTTTCCTGGCTCTGTGCTTAGTAGCCTTCAGAAATTTTTTAAAGTTGAAATAGTAGATAACTGTAATTAGTCAGAAAAATAATACTGTAATTCTTCAGTTTATTGTATGATATACATTGTGCTCTTTTGTTGTTGTTGTTGTTGTTGTTTGTAGTTACTATTTGACATATATCATGTCCATTATTTCCATATGAACTTAGAAACATTTTTTTCTTATTTTTCTTATATTTTCTTGTTTTTAAAATTGAAGAATTTTTATCATTATTCATAAGGAAGTATTTTAGATTTTGAAACTGTTTTTCTGAAACTGACTTGATTCTTCTACAGCTTGGCCTTCCAGCTCTATAATCGATAAGTAATAAAAAGGCAACTACAGAACTCTTATATTTATTTCAGAAACTTCATCTTTCTCTCAGTGGTAAAATGTGAATATAAAGTTTAGGGAATCATTATTATAGGGCATAATAAGAATACTATTTTTCCTATACTTTTATAGCTTTTTCTTTGTTTAGTAATTTCAAAGTACCTTCCATATTTAATTTGTTACATTGTTAACTTTACATAAAATGAATCACAGTAGTTAGTATTATTGTTGCTATCATCATCTTGAAGAGATTTGCTTTGTGTGATGGGTACCTCTCTCCACCTGTTCCACATCTGATACCTTTTACAGTGTAAAGATATTAAGCCTCCTCTGAAATATTTCATTTATGCAATTTATAAATACTTTCCTGTATTAAATATTTTGTTCTGTTATGCTTTTTCTCTTAAATGATTATCTGAAAATGTAATTTCTAATCTCATCCTTATTTTCTCTCTTTGTGTTTCATTATCTTATAATAAAAGAATACTCTAACTTTCATCCTGTGCAAAACATTTTAAAGTAGAGTTAAGACAAAGAGTGAGTTGCAAGTTTTTGTATACGTTACATCATCATGGAGGACAAATGATGTTCACATATACAGCTGTTGACAGTGTGACGATATTTTGTCTGAAGTAGAAGATGGAATTATTTAGTGTTTAAAGAAGATTAACAACATAATTAAATAATTTATTTTTTT